GGTGTGGAAGTTCTTGCATGATCTGAAAGAGGAAACACACACCATAAAAAAGAATCAAACAGAGCTGTTAGAGATAAAGGCTGCAATACAGGAAATCAAAACCTCCCTTGAAAGTATTAAAAGTAGTTTAGATCCTGCAGAGGACTGAAGCTCAGATGTAGAAGAAAGAATCACTGACCTAGAAAAATCTACCATGAAGACTGAGAAAATAGCCCCTCAATATGAGACTAATATATGAGTAATACTAGATATCGTTAAAGGTCCAAACATCTTGATAATTGGTATCCCAGAAGGTAAAGAGACTCATAGGGTATTGATAATATAGTCCATGAAGTCCTGGAAGAAAACTTTCCAAACCTAGAATGGCATTCAAAGATCCTGTCCCAAGAAATACAAAGGACCCCAAGTAGTATCAACCCAAGAAGATCTTCTCCAAAACACATTATAGTCATATTGACCAAACCCAAAAAGACAAGGTACTGAGATTAGCACGAGAGAAACATCAAGTTACCTACAAAGGATATTCCATTAGGTTAACAGCAGATCTCTCATCAGAAACAATTTGAGGAAGGAAAGAATGAGAAAATATATTCAAAGTGTTAAGGGAAAAACAATTTCTTTTTTTTGGAGAGGTTTATGTTATAGGGCGTGTGTGCTTGTCAGAAAGACAGAGAGAGACAGAGAGACAGAAAGCAAGAAATCACCCCCCCCTCCCCAGGGCAGGATGATCACATCACAACCCTTCCTCCTCTATTCTTCTCTTGGGATCTTGGGCACACACACACATTCACCCGTGGTGAGTTTAAGCGTCTAGGTCCAGGACTTGAACCACGGTCGATTACATGGGAGTCCAGTGATATAGCCATTATGCCAACTGCTGGTCCATGGAAAAAACAATTTCAACCAAGAATACTGTACTCAGCAAGATTATCCTTCATCTGGGAAGAAAAGACAAGAACATTCTCAGATAAAACCTGAAAGAATTTACCAACACCAGACCAGCTCTCTAAGGAGATTTGAAGGGAGTGCTATACCAGGAAAACTCAATATGGACACACAGAAATAAGAGTTCAGTAACAACTAAGAAAATGGCCATCTTAATTGTAGGGACAAGCCTGAAGTTAAATGTTATGTTCCGGAATTTAACCGGGAAGATCAGACCACAATAGAAGATAAAGTATGTGAGACTGAACTGGTGAGACAGAATCTTAGGACTTTTGACTAAAACATTGCTGATTTTCTTCTATGCTTTGTTTTCCAGACTTAAGGATTTTTGTCTTGTCTTGAGCTGCCAATAGGTTCATGTACCTACTATTTGAACAGAATCCTAACCTGTTTTCTAGCTTTAAGTTTTAAGCAAAGCTCTCTTAGCATTTTTAAAAATTTTGATTTATTAAAGCAAAAATTGCTTTTCTTGAAATTAAAAAATATATAAAAAATACTATAAGCTATATAGTAAGCTATATAGCATCAGCTAGGTGCTACTTTATAGTATATTCATTCTACTCAGAGCTTCATGCCTAAAATCAGACGTGTTCACAGATACATATTTGAAATAAGAAATGGAAAATTATTTGTCAATGATAACATGTATGATTAAACTAGTATACAGTGTATTCTGGGTGGGGAATCACATTTTGTATGCTATGATGATGCTCAGTGAATGAATATAGTGAATGAATGTAAAATAAATTAATACAAAAAAAGAACAAAAAAAGAGAAAAGCCTATCCTCTGTATCAATGGCCTGTGAAGAGTAGCCCAGTGGGCCAGGTAGTGGTGTGGTGGTGAAGTTGGCTGGTTCCCACATAGCCAACTCTGTAGTTCGAGTTCTGAACCTGACAATTTGAAAATCAAGTGTGTGTGCATGCATGGCCTAAACACTGAAAGGAGAAATGAAGGAAAAGGGATTGCAGCATGGCCATCCCCCATGGCAAGCACTTTCTTTCTTTCTTTCTTTTTCTTTTTTTTAAAAATAATTATCTTATTTAACTTTATTTATTTATTTAGATTTGACCAGAGAGGGGGAGAGAGAGAGAGAGAGAGAGAGAGAGAGAGAGAGAGAGAGAGAAAGTGAGAAGGCAAGCCACCAGGTAGACTTGAACCACGGTCAGCTATGTGGGAGTCCAATGTCCCTAACCATCATGCCACCTGTCGGCCTTGGCAAGTACTTTCTTACTACCTCCCTCCCCCAGTTTCTCTATGGTAGATAGTCCCTCTAGCAAATAAATAAATAAATAAATATTAAAAAGTTAAAAAAAAAAAAAAGAAAAAAAAGAAGAAAAGAGATAAGGTAAAGGTAAAAATCATTGTCTATTTCCAGAAGATTATGTCTTTTAATTCCTCCTTCAGCTTAGTAATTTGAATTATTAATTATGCTTTGCTTAGTTGGCAGTTCAGGATTTTCACAAATATTTATTTCCTATTCTATTATTATTATTATTATTGTTTAGAGGTTTTTGCCTTTGGGTGTTTGTGCTTGCTGGAGAAAGACAGAGACAGTGAGAGGGAAAGTGAGAAATCAACTCCTACGGCAGATAGCCATGCCATAATCATTCTCCTCCATTCTTCTTCTAGGATATTGGGCATGCACGCACATGCACCCAGCACGAGTTTTAAGCTACCAGGTCTGGGACTGGATTCATGGTCAGCCATGTGGGAGTTCAGCAATGTAACTGCTAGGCTATCTGCTGACCATCATCTTTCCTATTCTATTATTATTATTATTATTTTTTGGAGAGGCTTTTGCTATAGGGTTGTACACTTGCCAGAAAGACAGAGAGATTGAGAGACACAGAAACCAAGAAATCACTCCCCAGAGGGGATGGCCACACCACAATCCCTTCTGCTCCATTCTCCTCTCAGGATCTTGGGCATGCATGCACACGCACACGGCATGAGTTTAAGCCACCAGGTCTGGGACTCGAACAGCAGCTAACTACATGGGAGTCCAGTGACATAGCCATTATGCCAACTGCTAGCCCCATCCTATTCTATTTTTAAGAGCATATTCTGCATCTAGAGATTTCCAAAGACTAGATTGTGAATAAAATGGGGGGAAATTAAGATTTATTTCTCCTAGTATTATCTTTAGTATAAAGATTCATTTGTTCTTTATCTCTGGCATTAGGAATATTGTGACTGTTTATCAATTATGGTCCAATTTCTTGGTTTTGTAAATAAGCTTGGGGTACTCCCCAAGTATCCCTGGAATTTCTTACCTGTCTCTTAGTGCTACCTTGCTCCTTCACCTTGCTTTTCAATTTAATACCTCCTAAAACCTGGAATGGGCTACATAGTTGAAAGGTGCATCTCAGTTGGTAGTAATGAAAAACCAGGGTGTGGGAACCAGCAGTTAACATAATGGCTATGTCACTGGACTCCCACGTAGTCGACCGCGCTTCGTGTCCCGGACCCGGTGGCTTAAAACTCACGCCTGGCACGTGTGTGTGCGTGCCCAAGATCCCGAGAGGAGAATGGAGGAGAAGGGATTGCGGCATGACCATCCTCCCTGAGGGGTGATTTCTCGCTTTCTGTCTCTATGTCTCTGTCTGTCTGTCTGATCAGCTCACTTCCCCTATAGCGAAAACCTCCCCCCCCCCAAAAAAAAACCCAGGGTGTAATTGGACTTTCTAATGTCTGATCCAGCATATTTTCCTAGAGCATCAGATAAACAACAGAAAATTATGAGGAAGAACAAAAGCAGTGAATAAAGAGAGACTAAGTAGAAAAGGCAAAAACTGAGCACTTTATTCATTGGTTAATTTTCTAAGCCTTTGTAATTGAGATTATCTTTTTTTGACACAGAAAAGTGTTTAAAAATGTTTTCGTGGGTTGGAGTCAGCAGATGGTGTGGCAGTTAAGACGGCTGGATCCCACACGGTCAACTGCCCAGTTCAAGTTCCCCTCGACCCAGTGGCTTGAAAAACATTCTAGGCATGTGTGCATGGGTGCCCCAAATCCTAGGAGAATGGAGAAGGGATTGTGGCATGGCCATCCCCCTCTGGGGGGTGCTTTCTGATTCTACCCCTCTTTTCTCTTTGGCAAGTGCACATGTCTATAGTAAGTAAAAAAATTTTAGAAATATTTAAAAAATGATTATAAAAATCATTACAGTGAATAATTTGGATAATAGAATAGAATGAAGTATAAACTGCCATTTATAATTTGTCTGTTCCATTATCCCCTTTAAAATGGTTAAGCTCACATTACAAAAAAGGTAACACATGTACATTAACATACACAGATAAATACATAGATAATAAAATATGAATTGTATTTAGACAGAGTTGAGGCTTTTATAAAAAGAAGTTGTACAATTTTAAGGTGGATGAAATTAGAGAAAAATTTTTAAGAATTATTTTTTAGTTAACTTAATTAATTAATTAATTATTTGTAATTTGACCAGAGAAGGAGAGAGAGAGAGAGTGAGAAAGCAAGCCACCAGGTCTGGACTTGAACCACAGTTGGCCATGTGGTAGTCCAGCACCCTCAACCACCACATCACCTGCTGGCCCCTAGAGGAAAATTTTAATCTATGTTTATTTCTCTCAGAAAAGTGGGAGAGATAGAATAATGAGTTTATCAAACAGGGTGATGACAGGTCATTCTTGCAGTCATAGATTACCATCGCCGATGTTCCTGGGAAGTTTGGAGCTCAAATTAAGACATATCAGTGAGTGCAAGAGGAGCCGATAAGCATCAGTATGATAGGAAATTGAGGTTGTCTTCATTTCTTGCTTCTGTAAGTAATAGTTTCTTGCTTCTGTAACTAATAACAGTTTTGTTGTTATAAACATTTGCTGAAAATTTATTCTCCTGTGTTTCTGGGAATAGATTGAGCTAAAAAAGATTAATTAATACTTGTATCAATAATTGCATCTAGGTGTAAGAAAATGGGGTTATACTATATTAAAACCATGACTAATGTAGAATTAGGGAAAAATAAAATAGAGATAAGGACTTGATTTTTTAATTTGTCACTTTACACTCAGTAGTCCTTTAGTTCTTTGACATAGACGCAATCCTTTTGATCATGTCTTTGAAAGCTTGTATCACTTGCTTATTTCTCAGAGTGTAAATGAAGGGATTCATAACAGGAGCAACGGAGGTAGTGAGCACTGACACCACCTTATTAACAGCTACCCCTTCTTTTGCAGACGGCTTAACATAAATGAAGATGCAGCTTCCATAAGTGATAGAAACCACAATTATGTGGGAAGAACAAGTAGAAAAAGCCTTTTTCCTTTGTTGGGCAGAAGGGAATCTAAGAATGGTTCTGATAATATATGTGTAGGACAAAATCACACACACTAAGGTGAAAAGGAGTGTCAACACAGCCAAGATTAAGACAAACCGTTCTATAAGCTCAGTGTCGGAACAGGTAATCTTCAGAATGGGGGCAGCATCACAGCCAAAGTGATCTATGACATTGGAATCACAAAATTCAAGCTCAAAACCCATGCCAAATGGTGGGACGATGATGACTAGAGCAATCATGTAGCAGCCAATAAGGAACTTGATGCAGACTCTGTTGTTCATGATGGTCATGTAATGCAGGGGCTTGCAGATAGCCACATAACGGTCATAGGACATGGCTGTCAGGAGAAAAAACTCAGTCACACCCAGGATGACAACAAAAAATAATTGAGTGGCACATGCATTATAGGTAACAGTATTGTCCCCAGATGCCATTGTGTAGAGAAATCTGGGAATGCAAACAGTTGTAAATGAGACTTCCAAAATGGAGAAATTTCGGAGGAAAAAGTACATAGGTGTTTTAAGGTGGGAATCTACCAAGGTGAGAGTGATAATGGTCAGATTTCCAACAACGCTCAATGAATAGGTTAGAAACAGGAAGATAAAAAGCAGAATCTGTAGATTTGGGTCATCTGTTAGTCCCACCAGAATGAATGTTGTTATTGCTGTATAATTTTTCATCACTGATTCCTGATGAGGGTCTGGCCTGTGTATAAAAATAAAGAGAGAAATGAAACTGAGGAAAGGGATTGTCAGCATGACAGTCACCAGAAGTGGGGTGAGTTGACAATATTAGCTAAACTGATTTTATTTGTTACCTGTCAACCAAGAGTGCTATAGTAGTGGTAGTCAATCAATAATGATACTGGAGTACTACTGCTGAGTGATATTCTAGAGACTGGCCAGAGTCTTTAATTTATGATTGTTATTACTACATTGATATACATTATATCAATAGTGAAGGCAAGTATTGATGACCGACTCCTTAGAAATGAAGCTATTTCACATTATCTGTGTTAATAAACAAAAAAATACTGTCATAAAGCATGCATGGCTTGCAGTCTCATGAAAATAATTCCTCTAGGTGAGCTCATCATCTTGGTGAACATAACATGAGGTAAACAGAGGTGACTCTCAGGGTGTGAAATTAAAATCTTTCTACTCTCAGACTCCGTTTCTTTGCTCACTATGATAACCCACATTGTCTTATAAAGTGCCTCATGCCTTTTGGCTTCTTTCCCCTTTCTGAACTGCACAAAAGCAGTCTTATAAGTCCATTTTAAAGACAGACCAGAGTGATCTTTTAAAACCATACATGAGACCTATACCTCTGTTTCAAGAGGTATGTTTTTTTTTTATTCCCATTGGAATAAAATTCGAACTTCTCACTCTGATTTATAAGGTCCTTCGTGATCACTTTGCTGTGTAACGCTCCTAATTCATCTCTTGCTTGTCCAGCTATACCGGTCTTCTTCAGTTTCTTGAAGATATCAAGTTCTTTTCCACTTCAGGGCTCTTGCAATGTTTTCCCTCTCCTTGAAATACTCTGCTTACATTTTTTCATGGTGGATGTTATTTTTCAGGTTCAGTTTAAATATAACTCTGTCAAAGATGTCTTCCTGGAGAATCTTATCTATGTTCTCTTTATTCCCAATGGTATAGATGCAACTATGTTGATTTCTTGTAGAGTAGTTATTATAATTTTTAATTACATATTCATTTAATTTTTAAAAATAATGATTTTATTTAACTTTATTTGCTATTATTATTACTTTCCAATTTGACCAGAGACAGAAAGAGAGAGAGGGAAAGTGAGAAAGCAGGCCTCCAGGTCCAGGACTCAAACCATGGTCAGTCATGTGGGAGTCCAGTATTTTCAACTACCACATCACCTGCTGGCCTCTTCATTTACATATACCTCCATCTCCTACTTATAGTAAGTTCCATGAGAACACAGACCGTATCTGTTTTGTAAACCATTGTAAATTCAAGACTACTTCCTTGCCTTGCATATAATAGACACTCAGTAAATTGTTACTGAATGAATGAGACCAGATATTTTGTCTTTGACAATTGGCTGACTTGTTACATTTAAAATGTGTTCAAGAGACCAGAAGATGGTGTAATGGTTCTGTCTCTGAACTCTCACTTGACCAACTGCTGTTCAAGTCTTGGACCCGGAGGTTTGAAACTCATGGTGGCTGTGTGTACACAAAATCCTGAGAGGAGAATGGAAGAGAAGGAATTGTAGCATAGCCATTCCCCCAGGGGAGTGATTTCTTGCTCGCTGTCTCTCTCTGGTGAGCGCATGTGCCCTATAGCAAAACTTTCTCTCAAAAAAAAAAAAAATACCCCAAACCAATAAAAAAAACACCCAAAATAACCCCTTAGTGTATTGAGGTAATTTTAGGAATTAGACAAGTGGTCATTTTTAGTCATAATCTAGAATTATACTAGGTTATTTCATTAGCATGTAAGCATAAGTTATAATTAATTAAAAAGTTCCCAGAGGGCAGGTACAGAGAGAGACAGAGAGAGAAGAGAAGTGAGAATACACGCACCCCCTTCTCCTCCAAAGGGGTATGGTCACATCACAATTCCTCCTCTCCATTTCCTTCTCCTTTCAGGATATTGGGCACATATACACATGCACCCAGCATACTTCCCAAGCTGCGAGGTCAGGACTTAAACTGCCCAGTTGGCTATGTGACACTGCTGCCTTAATAGGCAGGTCACAGGCTGGCCTATTCTTAAGCTATTTAGGGTTAAGAGTGGAGTGATAGGGGAAGGATTAGAGTCGAAGAGAGTGGCCTACCAGTGAGGATTCTATTTTTGTTCATCTCTTTTTATTTTGGAGAGGTTTTCGCTATAGGGCGCGTGCGCTCACCAGCCAGCCAGAGAGAGACATAGAGACAGAAAGCGAGAAATCACCCCCCGAGAGGGGATGGTCACACCACAATCCCTTCTCCTCCATTCTCCTCTTGGGATCTTGGGCATGTACGCACACGCGCCTGGCGTGAGTTTTAAGCCACTGTGTCCAGTACGTGAACCGCGGTTGACAACGTGCGAGTCCAGCGACATAGCCATTACGCTAACTGTTGGTTCCCTGTTCATCTCTTTATTCCACTTTTTCTGAAAGAATTTGGCTGAGCTACTTGAACCCCAGACCTAGAGAGCCCCCAGAGTGGGCCCATGTGGGTGAATTGCAGGAGCTGCAGAGATTAAGAATGTGGTAGAAGAGGGGCCAGAAAGTGGCGAGTTTGGACTTGGTGCCTTGAGAATCATGCCAGGTACATGTGCATGCATGCCCAGAATCCCAGGAGGAGAAGGGATTGTGACCTGGCCATCCCCCCTGGGGGAGGGGGGGGAGAGTGACTTTTCCTCCTCTGACCTGGCCATCCCCCCTGGGGGAGGGGGGGAGAGTGACTTTTCCTCCTTCTGTTTTTCTCTGTCTCTCTCCAGCAAGTGTATGCACTCTATGGCAAAAAATTAAAAAAAAAAACATGGTAGGAGATATACCAGGGCTTGGACCCAGGTCAACCATTTAATGACCAAAAACCTGGGAAAGTTCAGTAATAGTCTTCATTTCTTGGTCCATGAAATGCAAATAATAACTATTATTATAATTTTATAAAATGAAAATAGTATGTATTTTCATGGATTATTATGAATATTAAACAAACTAATTCTTTTGGGCTCAGCATCATGCCTGGTACTAAACAAATATCAATAAATTGTATTTAATCTTTCTAATTCACTTCTAGGACTTGTTGTCTGAATAGAGTTTGCTCAGGTTCCTATGCTTTCTCTCACCTTTTTCTTTACCTTATTCCTAGATGTTACCTTTACCATGTTCCATATATGTATTTAAGTTTTCTGCTGCTCTTGAAGTTAAAAACAAATTTATTTTGTTGAAGATAATGAATATAATATCCTTGATTTGATTATCACACACTGCATGCATACTTTGCAAAACCATATTGTACCCTGCAAAAATGTACAATGATTAATTGTAAATCAGAAATTATAAAATAAAAAATACAAAATTATGAAGTACTCTTAAGTTCTAACAAGTTAGTATTTGTTGATAGAGATGTTTTTCATGGATGGAATCCAACTGCATGCAACATGTGACTTATTCTTTTTGATTCTTTTACATTTTTCAACTACATCGTTGGCACATTCTGATGTGATTCCTTTCCTAAATCTCTTAATTCAAACATTGTTCCTTGAGATATTCACTTCCCATCTCCTCAGTAGCCACATCTTTCATATTCTCTTCTGAGCTTGTCTTAGGTCTCTCTCTCTCTCTTTTTTTTTTTTGGTAATCATATTGAGATAGTTGTCCCCACTAATTTATCAAAGATCTCTTTCATCTCCTCTATGTGCCATGTTTCCCTTTTACATATTATAAATGAGAAAGAAAATATCTTAGGGAAAATTGTGCCAGGTTACTACGAATAAAATGATCAAGTACTTAAGACAATTGTACAGGTTAAGAAATATGCAAGGACCTTAAATATTATTTTAGCAAGTTCCTCACTTTTGAAGATGGAAATCAAATAGTTGGCAGTCATCAGGCTTGTTAAGTACAAAGTTAAAGAGAGAATTCAAGTTTCCCAAATTCTAAGTCCATGTGTTTCTTCCACCATATCAAATACAGTTTTTTTTTTTGAGAGAGATTCTTGCTATAGGGAGACAGAGAGAGATAGAGAGATACAGAAATACAGAAAATGAGAAATCATTCCCCCAGGGGGGATGACCATACTGTAATCCCTTCTCCTCCATTCTCCTCTCAGGATTTTGGGCACACACATGGGCCTGGCCCAAGTTTTAAGTCACTGGGTCTGGGACTTGAACCATGGTCAACTGTTTGGGAGTCCAGCAATGTAACCATTATGCCATATGCTGGTTCCTCAAGTTAAATTAAAAATTTTTTTCTCTCTCTCTCCTTTTTTTTTTTTTTTTTTCCTGGTTTCAACTCACCCATTAGGAAGGCTGTCTCTTCTAATGTGTTTATTTGCTTATTCCAACTTTTTATTTCATCTCTTCATTACTACCAGGAAAATTTACCATTAGTGACATAGGAGATCTGGAAAATAAATTCATTTATAATGTCTTACAAGGTAATAATCATACTATGCCACTTGTCCCAGTTTATTAAGTGGCAATACATTTCTAATTTGGAATTCTATTCAATAAGAATAAGTTTTTATGGAAGATACCAGGGCAAAGAATATCTTTTTGTTGTATTCAACTTAATTAACAATGCTCTCTTTTTTTTTTTTGGAGAGATTTTCACTGTAGGGCGCGTGCGCTCGCCAGACAGACAGAGAGAGACATAGAGACAGAAAGCGAGAAATCACCCCCCAGGGGGGATGGTCATGCCGCAATCCCTTCTCCTCCATTCTCCTCTCGGGATCTTGGGCACGCACGCACACGCGCCCGGCGTGAGTTTTAAGCCACCGGGTCCGGGACACGAACCACGGTCGACTATGTGGGAGTCCAGTGACATAGCCATTACGCTAACTGCTGGTTCCCAACAATGCTCTCTAAGGAATGATAATGATAATAGCATTTATTGGGTCGTTGGAAAAGTCATGATGCATTTTCACATAGAAAAACTTAGAAAAATACGTCATGACTTCTGATGATCCAATAAAAGGCAGTTACTGAACATC